TGTCGGTTCTAGAGAGAAATGGTGACTGATTATAGACTCTGAATTCCTATCTCTCACTAGGATCCCAAATCACTGAAACAACAAAACTGGCAGGCACTGTTCGTGTGCTGACCTGAGGCCTAGCAGCCCTATGACATCTTTTGCCTGATTAGACTAGAGGTGCTAAAGGGAAACTGGGAGTAGTGGCTCACATCGATAATTTCAGCACTCAGGAGGATGAGGCAGGACTGCCACAAGTTCAAGGCCAGCTCAGCCTAGAGTTCAGTTCCTAGAGTGAATGCTAGGTAAGCACAGGCGCGGGCTCAACCAAGCAATTCAAACACTAACAAGATCCCGCCATGATTTGTGCGTAAGTTACAGTGTGACAAGTGACTTTAGAGAACTAGGCGGGCACCCAGCCGGGGGTGACTGGTGCAGACCACCACGAGGTGCAGGGACTTTACAAAAACAGGAGGAAGTAGTGAATGGGGTGGGGGGAGGTTGTGTTGAATACAGGACAACTTGACTCTGGTTCCAATCTACCCATTCATCACTAAGGAATAGTGCCATCTTTTGGAGTTTTGTTTTTTGAGACAGGGTCTCACCATGTAATTCTGGCTGTCCTAGAACTCACCCTGTAGACCAGGCTGGTCTCAACTCACAAAAATCTACCTGCCTCCCAAGTGCTGGGAAGTAAAGGCATGTGCCACCACACCCCGTAGTACAGCGCAATCTCAGCTAGTCACTGAGTCTTCAGAGAACTATCAAGTCCACCTTCCAGAACATTAGTCTAAGGCATGAGGCACACACCTAGTGACCCACAACAAGCAACGCTTTCTTTCCCATTCTGGAACTCACACTGAGGTGTAGCTGTGCAGACTCTGTGACCAGGAGACAATTAGGAACACAGGGAGAGAAAGCTAGTTCTGTCTAGGAAAGGGCAGACATCCCTGGCAAGAGGACACTAACGTGGTCCCTGTGCTTATTGTTTTCCAACCAAAGGACCCTCAATAAACACGGATGACGGAAGCACAGAAGGCAGACCACTGAAACGACTTTCCTAGATGTCCACCCAGCGTCCTAGACCATCCTGTCCAGAAGAAGCAGATGAAAACTACATGTAGTTTAAAATTTCCTAATAGTACTTTTAAGGGGAAAAAAAGAGAGGAGTAAAATAATCCTGAATTCCAGGTCATGGACGTGGCAGACTGTGTGCAAATACATGAAGGTTTTAACCACACTATTACTTGCTCACTATATAAGCTATATAAGCAATCTAAAAAATTAATGAGATAGTTCACATTTCCTTTAAGTCTTTAAATCATGTGCCTCATTCTGGTTCCCTCAAGTAGCCCAGGCTATTCCTGAACTCCAAATGTAAGAGGATGACCTTGAGCCCAATCCACTTACCTCAACCCCTAGGGTTAGGGCTATAGGCAGGCACACCAGGCCCAATTTCCAGGTGGATCTTATATTTATGGACCAAGTGCAGGCAAGAACATGTATATAAATATGTGAAGAGAACACCAGAGGAAGATATTTGATAAGCTGGCATTTTTGGTTAACAGAGACAGGGCCTCACTAGGTAACCTTGACTGACCTGGAACTCATGGAGATCAACCTGCCTCTCCCCCACAAATGCTTGTACTAAGGGCCTGAGACATCACACAAAGCAAAACTGGCATATTTCTGTGCACAAGCTTTGTTCTGTTTGAGGTTAAACAGAAGTCTTGACCATAGTTAATGAAGCAGTTGAGCTGTTCCATGAGGGAAGAGAGGTGACGCACAAGGTTCAGCTCCACCAAAAATGAAAGTCCAGGCAAGCTAGGACATGCACACCACCCTCCTACAGTTCACCCACTTTTATCCATATTTCTCACAGCTGTAGCCGAAGCCCTAGACAGGCAGGTGATACATCGTCTCTGTATTTTCATCACCAAAACTAAACGTCTACTCATAAATGAAGTGCGATCGTACAGAGCCCAAGACTCTCCAGAACAGCAGAAAATAACATCCTTTCCTCAAACGGGAAGACAGGAACACAGAACACCAGCCCCAATCTGGGGAAGGAGGACTCAGTGCCCAGGGAAGTCTGGTTTGGAATTTAAGGAAGCTGTTCCAGGTCCCACAGCTAGTAAGAACTGAACACGGGTTTGTGTCACCGAGGATTACACAAAGAGGGCAATTTGGCAAAGGCCAAACACTTCCATGGCCTTACCACTCAGAACTAACTAAACATTAAGCATCACCATTCCCACTTAATCTCCTGGTAAAGCATAACCAGAATTGTTAAAGTTCAGCTTATCAGAGTTGCCATGGGAGGCTTAATTCGATTAACTCATGTTTTCAGGTTCATCTAAGACAAGGTTCAAAGTGAGCAGAACTGTACAGCACCAAAACGTAAAACTCTGGGATACAGTAGAAAGTCAAGGTGGAAGGAGTCTTAGATGAGGTTCCAGACCTGGGTTCTGGATCTCCATCTCCTCTGACCTACTTGATAAGCCCACCCTCTATTTTGGGTTTTGGTTTTGAGACAGGGTTTCTCTGTAGCTTTGGAGCCTGTCCTGGAACTAGCTCTTGTAGACCAGGCTGGCCTCGAACTCACAGAGATCCGCCTGCCTCTGTCTCCCGAGTGCTGGGATTAAAGGCATGTGCCACCACCACTTTCTATTTAGGTTAACTGTAAAAAATGAGGCAAAAATTATAAATGATATCTGAACTATGTCCAGCCGTGAGATCTTTTAACGCAGATCTAATCCATGTAGCTTTTTAACACTCCTGTCTTAGCATTCAGATCCCTATAATCCATTCCTTTAACAGAAACCAATGCCCATTACTAGCCCCAGGAATCAGCCTCCAAAATGAGTCTGCGTCTCAAAAAGAAAAGGTTGAAGTTGAACAAACCTGTTTACCTTTAGGTCCCCAGGACTGGTCTACATGCCACAAAGTTCTAATTATGTAAAGGCACAATAATCAACTTCACTGAAAACCATACAATACTGGTGTGTGGGGCCAGAGGATGATCGAGCAGTCAGCAGCCTTAGCGGGGAGGCACGTGACAGCTAAGAAAGCCACCCGGTTTCTCTAAGATTATATTTCTGTCTGCAGATGTCAATGACACTGAATTTGCTCTCTCCTCTCAAATGTCCTGCCTGAAAAAGATGTTCAAAGAATTCTTTAAGCTATGTTTATTTATGGTTGGGTTATTCTCATCTCACTTTCAACTCACTTTGCGTTTCTCTTATTTTCAGAGCACATAAAGACAAAAGCATCGCTCTATTCCTTCTCGCTTCCAATTTGTGCCCAGGAGAACTTCTGGCCTTCCAATGTGCTATTTCTAGAGCCAGCTCTCTGGTACAGAGAACACATTCTCCCCTCTGTGTGCTGACTGGTCAGGGTGGCTCTGGGTGTGCCTCTGAGCTCATCACTGCAGCCTTAAAGACAGCCACCCACCAGCCTCAGCAGCTCAGGGGACAGTCATCCAGTGGCCTCGGCAGCTCAGTACTCGACTCTGTAGCATCTGGGGCTCCTCCTTTGAGCACATTTTCAGAGCACATAAAGACAAAAGCATCTCTCTATTCCTTCTTGCCGACACTCGGTGCTCAGAACTGTCTTATTTTCTCACATGTATGTATGAATAGGAAATATCTACCACACAGAAGGTTCAGTACTCTCTTGAGTTTTAGGCATCCAGGTAGTCTTCAAACTGGTTCCTCCACTGGGAGCTTTGATCCGCCCAATCTGACCTCTGGCCCAGTTAGCCACACCAAAAGAGCTAAGAGGCAGAGGGCCCATCCTAGGCAACTGTGCCCAACGTGAAGTCAGCAGATCAGGGCCCTTCATCAGTGCCAGTCCCTTCCCATCTCTTCGTCTGACTTGGTCATCTCAAAACAGAAAGGACCAGGCGCCAAGAAATCCATGTCACCTCCAGAACCCTCCTTCAGTCTTCCTGCCCCATCTCTCCCCACATCCAGTCAGCACCACCACATGCGACTGGTCCCGGTATAACCTGCCCCTCCACTCCATTCTCACAAACAGTGCGCCCAGCCTTCCACGTAAAGTCGTAGATTTTCTCCCCTATGCTGCAGGTGTCCCCATTTGATCTCCCTGCCCCTACCCTCAACAGCTCCCATTCAATTTCCAGGTATTCCCACAAGACTTTTTGCTAATACCAGTGCCCAGATCATGAGGACTATCCAGAAAGATCCTCATCTCATTGGACCTCTCTGCCTCATGCATCAATATGACTACCACATGCCTACCAGGCTTTCTCTGCACCTTCACTGCTCCATGGCTCGCGTGCTCTTCCTGAACCCGGGCCAGCCTCACACACTCACGAGCATTCCAGGTTCAGCTGCAAAGCCATCTCTTGGGGGCTCCTCCCGGACAATGACAGTAGATGCCCGGACACAGTTCTAGGACAGTTCTATGGGCTACTTCCTACTCTTTGCTCTCTGGCTTCCTCTTTCCTCAGCATTTCCAGAACCTGGCAAGATGCCTGTTGCTCAAAAAACAATGAAGTCTCTGGTACCTTGAGGCAAGAACCTTCACACTTGCATAGACGACATTTCCTGGGCTCACCTACCATGCCACTGTCTCTGCCTCTTCTTCCAGAAAGTGATTTTATCCTCAGCCCTCCCTTCCTCCCTCATGAACTCAAAGAAGTTTAACCAAAACAGGAAAAAAAAAAAAAAAAATCTAACACTAAGGGTTAGAGATCAACTTCAGTAGCCTGGGCTACACATAAGGAAGACCGCACCCCAAAAAAAGGACTTAGTTTCTCCACTCCATTGCCATGACAGTGCCCAAAGGCATCCACCTCCTTACAGGGTATCCAGAGACTTCAAATGGTAGGCATTTTTGAAGAAAACTATCTCTAGACAACCAAGATTTCAATAGAGATCTTCGGTATCATTTTCCAAAATTTCAATTCTATTATTGTGTGGTGTTTCACTGAACTGACTGCCAAACTCATCTTGAGATTAAAAATAACTGCCGGAAGAAATAAAAGGCTGTTTTACCACTTGCAGCTCTTTGTTTCCAGTTTGGCTAATTCCGATTAGTTCAGGGTGATAAAGCATGTCAGCCCATTAGAGCACTGGTACCACGGCCATCTCGCCAGTGTCTTCTGGTCACCAGCTCTCTTCTCTGCGAAGTCTCAACTGCAGCTGTCAAGGTCGGATCTCTCTGGATGACACAGTGAGCTGAATTTATTTCATTTAAACTTCAAATTTATATACATGTACCAGATAATGTCGAGTATTTACAAAAGTAAAAGTAAAAAATTAAAAATGCTGACACGAAACCTGTACACAGATATTTACAGTAGTCTTTTTTTTCCACAATCACCTGAAACTGGAAACAACACTGCTCTTCAGGCAGAGAAAGGACGAACGAGCCGTGGTACATCCACACAGTGGACTAGCACTCAGCGACAAAAAGAGCCAAGAACTGACACACAAAGCAATAAGGACGAATCTTGAGTACATCTTGCCAAGTGGAAGACGCCATTCATAGGACATTCTGAGAAAACCCAGACAATATGGCCATGGAAGAGGAGAACTACAGTGAGACTTCGGTGGCCAGGGGTTCGGGTGGGGGACCAGTTTGCCTCAAAGGGGCAGCAAGAAGTTTCGTCATGATGGAATTATTCTGCATGGATTACGTCAACTCATACGTGGCTCTATTTACATGTCAAAACCTAACAAGTGGTACTCCTGAGCAAATGTCACTGGGCGTAAATTAAACATTTACATCCTTTAACCATACCTTGAATAGTGACCATCCCTAAAACAACTTAACACCAACATATTGGGGCTTGTGTGCCGCTGTCTGTGAGGGCTGCTGTCTCAGTTCTGACACTTGGAGGGGTGAGGAAGAGATCTGTGGGGGCTGAGGAAGGAGTGGTCCCAAATGTTCTTCAGATCCCTGTCACCAGTACTGCCGCTCCTTTCTAAGGTTCCACGGCAGGGCAACTCTGCACAGGCCTTACTTAGCAAGGCTGAGTTCCGCCAAGGACATGGGCAAGGTCATTCAAAACCCACACAACACAGAAGCTCGAGAAGGATTTCAAACAAGGGGGGGGGGGGGGCAGGGACCAAATCCTAACACTGTAACTCAGTCTAGTCAAAAGCGTAAGCAAAAAGAAAGAAAAAAAAATCCACTTAAACGTGGTATACCCCCTTCCTAGACTGTCCTTAAAACGAGCTGCATGGCTGGATGGGTGTGGTGGCACATGCCTGCAACCTCAACACTCAAGAGTCCAGGCAGAAGGATGAAGTCTGAGGGGAGCCTGAGCTATATATCAAAACCCTGTCTCCAAGATGGGTGGGGTGTTTGGGGGAAAGGAGAGGGTGGGAGGAAGGGCAGGAGGGAAGGAAAGTGAAAGACTGTGAACACAGGATGAAACCCTGAACCAGGTTAGACTGAGCTGTTAAAAAAAAAAAAAAAAAAAAAACCTTGAATTGAGTGCTCCTTAACATGGAAAATATGACTCAATTCCAGGCAAAGGATGAAAACAAGCGAGTGTCCACCACCCAGTTACACTCTGTTTCCAGTGTGCGCTAGCCAAACCCGCACATTCCTGCTGCAGACAGGGGAGGCCCGAAGGTTCTCCTCAGAGACTGCCTCAGGAAACAGCACGCAGGCGCCAGCTGTAGCTCCAGTATGGGTGCCATGGTGTTCCCTCCTGGCTCTCTCAGAAAGGAACATGCCCTTGCTTATTCTCCAGACCGCTCTGGGTCCCTCCCCCCTCCCCCAACGCCCCAGGAGACATGGGCCTGCTACCTTGTTACAGCCCAGCCTGAGATCAACACCTGAGGCCAGCTCCAATCCAAGATGAGCTCATGATTGCTGCCTGGGAGAACCAGCTCCCCAGCCTCCAACAGCATCTGCAGCTGGAAAGACTGGCCTAAATGCAAAACAAATGCTATTTTCAGGAGAGGCTTCTGGGGGGAGGGGGAAGGGGGGCAGGGGAGAGGAGAACAAAGCTAAAACCACCAAGAGAGTATACCAGACCAGAACATTCCATGACATGCAGGCCCTAAAAAGGGCTTTTAAAATACATTTTCAAGAAATGGTCATTGTAAGGGGCGAGCAGTGAAAGTTAAATAAAACCCCTGCCCCTGGAAAGACAAGAATGAAGGACTAAACGATAGAATAGCTTATTGTATTAGGCTAATTAAGGCTTATCACATTAGCCATCTGAGTTTTAGCTGGCACCAGAAACGCAGGGGCCAACACGCCATGCAGTATAGACTGGAATATGCTCGACAAGCATTATCCCTACCACAATCGTCTGCACAACTCTGGCAGTCGGAAACGAGGTAGAATTGAAAACCAATTTTAGCACATGATTTGCAAAGGACCTTCTTCCATCGTGGAAGCCATTTGCTGGTATATCCGTCTGCGATCACATTTATCTCTATTAAATACTACAGAAAATATTCCAAGCTACCATGCACTCTAGTCTCCCTTTTGCCAGTGCTAGCACATGGGCGAGTCTCTGCAGCCCCCCCACCAAATTCCAACAATAAAAACCCCTGCCTACTTAACGCCCTTCACTGCTGACAGACTGCCCACCACTGCCAGCACACTTCACCAGCTCTAAGATCCTCTGCATTTCTGAACAGACTAGTCTGCTGGAGCCGGAGAGGAACATGATACGCACTTCAAAGAGAGAAAATGTATTTGCAATCAGGTCTCCCATGGGCTCCTCTTGACTGTACTTTTACCAAACCAGCAGAAAGGCAGAACCAGCTCTGTTGGCTGAGATCATATTGGACCTGACTCTGGTGTGACTGGTTTCCTGTTTGGGGAAGTTGCAGCTCTTTGCACAAGGAACCCCAAGGCAAAATGTTTAGTGCTCTCCTGGAAGCTCCCACGGCCTTTGTTCTTCCCTGACTCGCTGCCCTCCTCTGCTTTCTCCTCTCCTCCTCTCCTAGCTCTGGTTTACATTTTTTTGCCAGCCCAATCCTAAATGCAGTAAAGCATTAGACATTTTCTACCACCCACTACGGGAAAGCTGCAAGCTAAGTCATTTTTTTTTTTTTTTTTGCACAGATAAAACCGGACAGACCTGGGTTCCTTCTAGTCCTTGGCTAGTCCTCCACACTGAGATGTACGCCACAAATAATCCATTGGTGAACTCACTGTCGACAGCCCCCAAAATCAATAAAGGACATTCCACCACTTGACTGGAAACCCTTTCAGGTCAACACGGAGAGCGTGGAGTAGGAGAGAGGGGTGATAGATGAACAAAAGACAGTCTACCTCCAGGCTCCTCAGATCCCAAAAAGCTGGCTGGGCTACTTGGATTTGATGAAGCCTTTCCTTTTCTTACAACTGTGGGCAAAATGTGCCATGTGGACTGCTTCTATGCAAAAATCGTGCGTTCTCCACAAGGCCCAGCCGCCTACCGCCCTCCAGACATGCCTTTCCAGGCCTGACTCTTTCAAATGCCCAGGCACATGCGATTTAATGAAGGCATTCAGATCTCGCCTGGATAACAACACCATCAAAAAAGTCAGTGGAACCCATTAAGCATGGATAACATGAAAGGTATTTGGTCTCCACTCTGAACCCCACTTATCTCCAGGGTACCAAATCCACTGGCGGTCTGTGTCAGAATGGATGTGCAAATTAATATTTAAATTCATGCTAAAAATAGCTTATCTCACCTTGTGAACCTTGACCTTTTGAAAAGACTTTGGACCAGTGCTCAGTTACTGTCACACGGTTGCATTCTCTGCAAATATGAAAGGGTTAAAAGCAGCCCCAGTCAACAGGCCTACAAGGAAGAAAAAAAAAAAAAGACAGCATGTATGGCTGACAACATCACTGGATCGCATCTATGCTCATTTCCCAGAACAATATTGTTACCTTTTGGCCTTCATAATAGTCCCAAGAATCCCCAACACCCTTTAGTAGCATCTAAAAGGAAAAGCACAAAACAGAACATAGCCTGCAAGAGAAAAAGGCATGCAAAGTAGCATTCTCCAGCAACAAACCACCATCACAAATCCATCAGTTCATTCTGGTTGTTTCCTTAAAAACAGAGAGAGAGAGAGAGAGAGAGAGAGAGAGAGAGAGACTGCACAAACCAAGTGTCCCCACCCTAACAAGACACATACTTTTTTTTTCTTTAATAAGGGTCATAAATCTCAGCTCCTTGTCCATCCCTTAAGCAAAAGCAAAAGGCAGGAACAGCCCAACTCGTCTCAGCCACTGCAAACCTGCACCTCTCGCCCATCATCTCTACACAGGCTCTTTTAGGGCTCCATAGTCACGTACCAGTGCTGTGTGGTGTCTAAGTGTGCATTTACATACTGGGTTGGGATGGTACCTTCCTGCAAGCTCCTCTGCTTTTGGCTGCCATGAAGGGAGGAAGCTGCTATCCCACTGTAGTAGCTCAGTGACTGCATTGTGTTCAGGAGCTGATCTGCCTCAAACCAGTTTCAGCCGGTTCTGGTCACCCTACATAAAAAAGCTATGGCAACCCTCGCTGAGTTGCCAACAAGTCCCTGAAAACCATCAGCACAGGGTGGGCGCTCGCTGGGGGTGGCCTCTCCCTTTTAGAGCTTCCTGAGGAGGGAAAGGTCATTGTGTGTGCCCCCTCCACACGAGCACAGAGCCCTGGAAAGGCTCACCTCACGAGCCCCCCACAGCCTCTCGGGGCTCATCCCCCTCCCCTCCAGCCCGAAGCCCACCGCAGACACTGTTTTTCCCCCTCCTTCTCTTTCCCCCACTTACCTCCCACAACCTGGCTCAGATCTTTGTGTACGTGTGTGTCAGTGTGTGTTCTCTGTGTTGGTGGCTGACAAAGAGCCCCCAGGAAAGCAATCTATGTGTGTCTCCTCACACAGGATGCGTCGGCTGCAGGAGCCGGCCTGGCCTCCTAGCAGAGTGGTGCTGGCTTGTTGACCAGGCTCCTCTCTGCCTGTCACCCCCACCCCACCCAGCCCCCTCCTCCCTTCCGTCCTTCTCCTCTCTCTCCCAGCCCTGTCACCACCACCACCAGCAGCCCCCCCAGTCTCCTCCTCCTCCTCCAACCTTCTCTTCTTTCAAGCACCTGGGGGGGAGAAGTCCAAATCCCTTCACCTCTGGGTAGTACACTGGTGAGGTGTGGGGCGCAAGGGGACAAGTCAAGGGACAGTAGGGAAAGAGGGGACACCCAGGCCTTGGGAAAATCATCTGTGCACAACCAGCTCTGGCGGGGGAGGCGAGCCCGCGCTCACGTGGCCCCCTCTGAGCCGGTGGGGCCTAGCAACACCGGCCCTGCCTCGGGCCCCCCCTTAAGAAGCTGGCTGGGCGCGAAGGCCAGCCGTCCCCAAGGCCAGGGTGGGACAGGCCGCCGCACTCAGGCCAAGGGGCCTGAGCCTCGCGCTCGCCGTGGCCGGCG